TCGACCCTCTTGATCTTCGGCGAAGGAGGGATTCGCTGCCTTCTCTTCTCTTTCATTAAATACACCGACCCCCGGCGAGATTCAATTTTACTCGGCGGATTGCTTTTTGTTGTACCGTCGCCTGCTTCGGGTAACCGGATCCGGATCTGCGCCTCTTTCTTCTCCCACTCTTTCCCCCCCCCCTTCTCCTTTTCTTCCACTCTTCCGTCCCTGTCTCTCTGTCATCGCTATCCTCCGCGGTCGGATCATTCTCCATACGTCGCGTAAACGCATATATTGTGCGACGCGAGAAATATCCGGTTACGTTCCGGCTCGCGGTGACTCGAAACGAATTTGTTTTTCAAGTTCTAAAACGAGTGTTTAGCGTGTGATAAATTATATAATACCAAGTGTAAAGGTTTTCATAAAATTTCTCTCACATATTTCATTCCGCGTGTAAAAAACAATGTTATTCACACCTGAAAGAACAATGAAATCTAAACCATTGATCAAAAGCGCAAACAAAAATATTTTTTTAGTTTTATGGTGCATATTTTTTTTTTCTTTTCTCAAAATTCAATTCTTATTCTGGTGACAAATTCCTATTTTTACAAACAAAGTAATCTTTCCAAATTTGAAACAATTCTCTTTTCAATTTTGAAAAAGAATGCTACTCCACCGTGATTTCTATTTATTCGCGCGGAACGCGCGTTTATTTACCGAAAACTGCATGCAAAATTGTTTTAGTTACACAAAATCTGTAATGGTATATCGATAGAGGAGAAACGGGGAATCGGGGCTATTTGCCAGATTGCATTCATCGCTGTGCTGTGCGGCTTGTTTTTTCAGAAAACACACGTTTTCGAGGTCGTGTTGAAGTTTGCGGAGTCGAGCGAACCGCCTGTGAAGTACCTTGCGTACAAGCTTACGAGCACCCTTGTCGGAAGTGGTACGGAAATTACGTTTGTGCCGTCGTCCGCGTCCGTTATAACATTTCCATTTCTCCTGGCAACATAAACTACACGTGTGTATATATAATTTCATTATCTAAACATAATTACTTAAACCATACAATGCGGAATACGCATTGTATTTATAATTTGACAGTATTTATTTTAGCAAGGACCCGGAAGTCGGCGTACATTTCCCGCCGACTGCTATTCCATTGCCGCCGTAAAATAAATTAATACCGTGGAATCGCAATTAGCGACGTTCTGCTACGGTTGATATTGATAAAAGTACACGTTTTACACATTCGATCCTATACATTTATAAATGCGACATTTATTTTTTATAATATTCTGTCATATTAGCATCCCACATGAATTGTTCACAGCCGCTTTATTTTGCATTTCGCAAAATTGTTAACCGTTTCGATTGCCGTTACTCGTTTAACTGTTGAAAATGTCAATGGCAATCGGAATCGGCTCGATCCGTGAATCGCGTGCGGATAAATCGAGTTATGCGCGACGCGCAAATGTGAATGCGCACTTCTGTTTTAATCGTGACCACGTCGAAATTCTCGCCGTAACGAAGGTATTCAGCCGAGTTCGCGAACGCGCTAATTAAATCCGAGATTACGTAAACGAAATAATTATCAGCAGACTACGCAATGGCGCCAAAGTGAATATAGATAAACAAAAGCGTGCTTCAGCGCGCAGTCACTTGCAGCGCAGGATATGAGCAGGCGAGCAGCATGTGTTACGTAGATTGCGAAGTTTAGAATGGCGTCACCCTTTAAAACGGATCCTCAGTGTGCACAGATATACATGGATATTGTTATTAAAAATAACAATACGCCGAGAGATTCGCAAATCTTTTGCGCCAATATGATTCGCAACCGTACATTTGCATTATCAGCCGATACACTTCGGTGATTATCGTAAAATTTATTCAATTGATACAATTGCAAATATCGTATTATCGCACAATCAAATTTATCAATTAATTAAGAATACAGATATTAAATAATTAAATGCAGTTATTAAATAACCTTGAAATTGAAAAAGTCGTGCATTATTCAGGATTTAACCGATAACGAAGAGGAATTGCAATTTTAATTCCGCCGGTAAAACATCACTAAGCGAAAGAGTTAAATAATTCACACTTTAACATTTTCATATTTCAAGGCGAGACAAACGGCGAGTGCGCCGTCATGATTTTTTCAAGGACTCTGAATAAAGCAAGCGAAAGAAGAAAACGCGATCCGTGCATTCCTTCGACCAGAAAAAAAATCCAGGATCCGAATTCTCGATTATAATGCGCGGTCATGAAAAACTTCAGATTGCAATAATTTTCATGCGCGAGAATAATAAAGTGAGCGCGCTCGCTTTTTCTCGCACACGCGCGGATGCGAATAAAATGCCCTTCGCTTTTTCCATCCTTTTCAAAATTAGCGATTCCTCGCCGTCGCACGCGCGCAAATGAATTACCTTCCGGATTCAATGTCCGTGCACGCACCTTTCAAGCAGATCTTGTTCCTCTTGAAGACCAGGATCGTGTCGTTGTACTTGGCGCCGAGAGGCGCGGTGACGTTCAATCTCAGCGCCAAAGGAATTTCGGCGCTCGAGACGCCCGAGCACGGCAATCTGATCCTGAAGACTTGCAGGGTGACGGGGACCTCACCTCTGGCGGACACGTTCACTCTCGGCGGTAGCAGCGCCATTATGCCAGAGGACGGTCCACCCGGAACGCCCACCACGTCGTAATCCAGCTCCATGGAATACGATAACTGGAGGAAAGAAAAGGATAGAAGCTTTATCGCTTAATAGAGAACGGTATTAAATGTATCTACATTTAGTTCCGCTAAGCTCACCACTCTCAACTTGCGCAATGACAAATTTTTTTTTTTTAGCAAAAATGTCTAAACTTTTCCAACCGGTGTAAAGTCGCGTTGAAGATAAACGTTGAATCGCAATACGTCTCGCGCGATTGCTGTGAAGTATTTAAGGCCGCCTCGTGGGCGGCGCGACAATTTTTAATAGAGGCGAATTCTGCAGAAAACTATTTACGCCTCCCGCCTACTTCAACGCGAGTCGATATCCCGCGCCGTAAAGTATTCCGGTTATCGTCCGGCGGACGATATGCCGGCACGTAATAAAAATAGCGCGACGCCCATAACTCATGGAAATGCGAGACTCGCGGACCCTTCTACGCGGCCGCATACGATTGCACGTATTAACGTTATAGGTGTATGAATATATATCGCCGCGCGTATCGGCCGGCATGCGATATTTCACGTTAAATCCCGCGCGTCGGTCTATTTCGTATTTACCGCCGCCTATCCCGTAACTTTTAACCCCGAATCGACTCTGACACGAGACCCGCGGGCAGTTAGTTGGGCGATCCTGGAAGGCACACGACCGCACCACCCCCCCGCCCCTCCCACCCGCCCCGTTCTGTCATTCGAGATTGGCCGCCGAACGGCGACGGGTGCGGGGAGGCGGGGCGGAACGGTGGCGGCGAGTAGTGTGCTCGGGCACGCCACAAGTTTTACGAGGTGGCATAAATAACCTGGTTAGTGCTTCGTGATGCGGTGTCAACGGAAAAGGCGACTCCACCCTCCGCGAGCCGCTCCGTCGTAGGCACCGGTAATCGTCGTAATCGTCGCGCCGGGGGGTCGCGCGGTGGCGTGACACCCGCCTATCGTGGCACCCGTGGCGCGCCGTGCCCGAGATCGCGCGCACCTCCGGGCATATTTATCATTTTTTTCCTTCCTACCCTAAGCAAGAGCCGCGCGCGCGCGAAGAAAGCGTGAGCGAAGCGAATGGACCGGTGCACGCGCGTCACGGCACATGCCGTGAACGCGCGTGAGATAACCGCGAATCGGGCGGAGGGATGAAAGGGAAAGAGCTCTTTGTATCGGAGCGCTCTCGAACGGCGCTGTTAGATCATTCCGCGTGTCGCGCGAGCCTTTCCCTTTAATTACTGAAAGTGGGCTCAGTTTACAGCGCGCTGACGATTTATTCTGATTCAAGCGTTGCGCACGTCGTATCACGCGAGTGATTATTCACAGTTGACGCGGCGCGATAGAGAGAGAGAGAGAGAGAGAGAGAGAGAGAGAGAGAGTAGTTGTTAGTTA